ACTGGAGCACTGTACTCACCAGCCATTCTCACTGAGCCAACAAACATACAGGAATCCTCCAACACCCACCAGTGACTTGAGAAAGCTGAGAATTTCTCTGTTCTTGGCTTGTTAAAAAAAAAACAATCTTTCAAGCGATTGAGTGATTTCCCCACCAGGATGAACATTTTTATTTTTTAACAGCAATGGGCCCTTTTTTAAAGCACAATGGGGTTTTTTTCCCCCACCCAGAGACGAGTTTTCCTGTGATATAAAAAGATCTCGAGAGAAACCTAATGAAACTTACCCATCACTGAGTTAGTCAGCATGGCATCTACTTGCAAACAAACCTGAAGTCTTGTTATTTATAACTACATGAAGTGTATGAGGATAGCAGGCATCCATTGAACAAGGAATCTCAGGCACAAATGACAGAGAGAACAGCCCTTCAAAGAATACTTAGAATAATACTGGTACAAACATTTAATGACATACAGCAGTACTTTGGTTCCATGCAGAGACATCTAAAGGGCAGGTATATCATCGTAATGCTAGCATTATCATGAGAAGCTGGAAATATATTCTTGTATGTGAGCTAAGTATGTGGTTAAAACTATGCACTTTCCTCATATCATTCTAATGAACATCTCATCTCACAGAAAGGGAAACTGGGCATGCTGATGAGAATGTCAACATGACATCGCATGTGGTTGGTAATAAAAAGCATCACGGCAAGTCGGGTCTCGACCATCTTTACAAAGCTGAAATTCGTGTCCTGTTGTTAATGCAACAGTGCATGTCTGCATGAAAGAGCTACGTCACCTCAGGGTTAAAAGGACGGGGACTGGCTGTCAGGCTTCTGCAAAATATGGAATCACGACTCATGAAGAGAAAGGTCAGAAAGGAAACTATCAGAAGTCTCACAGTTACTGGCGGGCATGGAGATGATACTGAGGGTGACCCGTTACAAGGACGATATTCGAAAGGCCAAAGGTAAAGGAGTCACAGTGAGGGGTAGCAGGACACAGGTCTCCAAGACAAGAGGCAAGCAAGACATTTCCCTCACTGCAAACATCAGGAATGGGCATTTGAAAACTGTCAGATACTGTATCATACCCTGTATTTACAAAAAACAGAGGTGTGCAAATGTAGAGAAGCTGTAAAACATGGCACAACAGTGATATTTCACCATGCAGTTCATCAGTTTTTCAACTAACATCAGAGGAATGCAATCAATATAGCACAACAGGATATCTTATTCCAGACTGACTCGTCTGCAGACATTACAGATGCAAGTTTATCTTGTAAAAAATGACACAGTGAGTCATAACACATCAGACACAGAGGTGATACTGCATTAGCAGTAACCTGAAAATTACGTATTATTATTTTATAACTGAAGCACAGCTTGTTGATGGCTAAGAGATGACTAATGCATACTTAATGCATACCTTATTAGCAAAACCTGTGGGTAAAGTTCACTACACTCAAAAGGAATATTTGGTGCCTTTGAAGTTTTTTTATACCCTTCTCCTGATCTGTGTTGTTCTGAAAGCTGTCTTTTTGGTTGAATTCTTGCTTAAGATACACTACCAGACTGAGGAACCTTACAGAGACAGGAGTGTCTATTCTGTAATCTTGTGAACTTGTATTATTGCACACAGAGCCAACTGAACTAACTGTGTGACTTGTGAAGGAAGTTTTGTGCACCTGCACTATCTGAGGCTTGCCATGGAGAAAGAGTAAACACTCGTACAGTCAACATATTTGAATTTTTAAATTTATCTTTGCAGACATTTAACTTCACAAGTATTCAAATTGGGCATCCAAGTTTTGCTTAAAAATATTCACTTACGAACTGCAGTGTGTAGACAATTATTTACAACTCAGCTTGATGGGACATCAATGGAAGGGTGTAAATACTTTTGCAAGGCACTGTGCATGCACGTCACAAGAACTGAAATAGAAATCTGTAGAACTGCATCTTCCAGCATGCTTACCAAGCATTTTATATAAACCAATTGAACATGTTTCTAGAATCATGTTCAAGAATGGTTGTAGGGCATTTGCAAGAAATGTCATGCAAATCCCTGACATTCCATACAGGATTTTGAGAGCAACAGTTAGTCAGCATGACTATCCAAACCCAAAGCACGAAGAGGAACAGAAGCATCACTAAGAATATATAAAAGGCCAGACTCATGCAGTGAAATGCTAAAAATAAAGGCCAAATGATATGAAGTACTGTAGAAAACGGTGCACATTTCAGTTTAGATCATTTAAAATAAAACCCAGCTGTAGAACTGACAGCTGGCATGTATGCTCTCAGGGCTGGTTTGATTTCATTACTGTTAGTTACTAAAGAGGAAGGAAGGACCACTTGCGTGTAAAAATGATCTTAAATCCTTTAGGTTTCTAAGGGCTTAATGCTAGTCAACGTGCTATGTTTTAGCACAGCTGATCAGTAAAAAACGATTTGACCTTGCAGACAAGACTGTCACAACATTCAAAGATCTAATACCTCACACACTTATGAAGACAGACGTTAAACTTCAGCCACCCTGATCTTGGAGGTTGTTGATGCTCTCTTATTTTCCAAATGGCAAATCTGTCGATTACGACTAAAGCTGACCTCATGTGCTTTTGTTGGGTCATGACAAAATGGATCCCTAAAAAAGTGGTTCATGGAATACGGATGTGGAGAGACAAAGGGAGATAAAAATGTCTTTTGGAGATGAAAAAGGAATAGTCAACCATGTTTCCATTGTTAGTAGCATTGCTATCTACTAGCCCTATTGTGTTAGATCTCAGAAGCTTAGCAAGGCTGGAGCTGGTCAGTTCTAGGAATGGAGACCTCTAAAGAACCAGATTCCTGGTAGGCGCCAGTGATGAACCAGTCGACGGAGTTCTTTCCTCTGAACCAGAATTTCCAAACCAATGCCCCAGTATAACGACAAAGGGACTACACTGTAGGAGGTGTTGTCCTTTCATGTGCAATGTTAAACAGATGATCCACCTACCTGGTCATTAAAGACCCCCCTGACAAGTTTGTAAGAACAGCATTGTTAACCCTTGTACACAGGGCAAATTCCACTACGGGCTGATAGTTTAGTCCAATTAATAATTTATCACTTCTCTGATTTGCTATGTACTGAGCCTATTGTTATAGAATGAGATATTTTGGGAAGAAAAGTGCTCTACAGATGTAAGCAAGTAGTATAGGTATATCGTTTCAGACCAGGGCAGCTTCACCAGTCAACAGCTAAATGACTACTGCACGTCACATAAAGACACGAGTAAAACATTATTATTTGCCCAAAATGCTGCTCTTCCCTTTCAAGAGCTTGGCAGTATGTCAGCCAAAATTATATTCTTGTAAATTAAGGAACTAAAGAGAAACAAAAAATGTCCACGTCAGCCTGGTCATGGAACAGGAAGAGAGATTTAAATGAATGCATGGATGGGCTCTCTATGGATTATTAACAGCACAGAGGAGATAATTCCATTTTGCTGCCTATCTCTGGAGGATGCGTGTGTTGTCCCGTTACTCTTTCGTGCATTTTTCCCTGAACATTGACAGCTGTGCAGCCAATTTAAAGGGTCACAACGGTCTATTTACTCATAAAATCGCAACACAAAATCGACATGTTGGTCTGCTTCCTTGAAGGCACAGAAATGGCCTAAATTCAGTCAATGCAAATGTCAAATAAGGGCAAACGCATAACTAAAACTAGCACGCAAACATATAAAGCAGTAAGATGGAAGAGCTGGAATAAACTGGTTGTGAAACTGGTTAAAAAAAAAGAGACGAAGTTCAGTTTCCTAACACTACGAGAAACCAGGAAACCTAATTTCATGTATTATTGAAAGCATAAGATTGCATTCTCATCTATCGGAGGGTTTGATTTCCTTATGGGCTTAAAATGCATCTCTGACAAGAGCTATAAAAGAAAAGGCCTGTATGCTGCTGGAAAAAAAAAGAATTAAAGATCAATGACTAGAAGAAGGCAAAGAAAAAAAACGTTTCAGCTGGAAGCGAGGTGACTCTACGTTCTCCGGCAAATCCTTGGTTTGCCGAGTTACAGCGCTGATGTGGTCCTCTAACAACGGCTCCACAAATACTTAAAAACGGGACTGCCTCGATAATTTCCTCAGGGGTACACCTGTTACCACCCACTGCGTTCCACTTCTCTATAACGTTCTACGAGCACCGTCTCTCACAGAAGCACTCTTTTGTTTTTCGATCTATTACCATGCCATGGTCACTTTAAAAAATGGCACACGTTTTTTAAAAATGGAACAAAGTCGGCCTTTATAAAAGTGATGGCAAAAGACTGCCAATTTACTGCTTATTCAAATGAGATGAATCTGCTTTATTTTAGTGGAGGAAAGCAAGGAATACTGCATATTATGTTATACATTATATAAGCAATATAATAAATGTGATTCTGTTCAAAAGCCACATAAAAAACCCAAATAATTTGAAAAGCCCAGACCTATCAAGGTGAAACAGTAGTAATGTCAGTCAGTCAGGCATTAGTTCAGATTAAATCTTTTAAAATGGTTCCTGGTCAGCTCCTCTGTGCTGTGAAGGATATCAAACGACTCGGCAACAACGACCTGACCACAAGAACAAACACATCCTGGATAGAGGACGCAGTTAATAATACAGTCTGATAGCAACCAGGAAGAAAACCTTCACCTAACAAGCAACACTGTTCTCTGTAACTAGGACTACATGTTAAAACAGCAGGCACGCAGACTGGAGAACTGAAGACTGATAGTAGGAGGCACTTTTATTTTCAGTATTTCAAGTAGCTTTCCTACCCTCCTTGAGTTTCACAGAAAGGCAACCATGACCGCTTTTTTATCTACGGTTATGGTGTATGTGAAAATAAAAAGGATCTAGAGAGTGGACTGCAGCGGGTGGCATTTCTGGAGCTGTTTAGGTAAGAGTCCATTGTCCAAAGCAAGCGCTCGATTCTCTTCAACAGCAGAAGCCAAGAAGAGTCGGGTCCTACCTGGGGGTACTGCCTTCGCCGCTAGAGGGGATCTTGGGGCTCTCTTCTGTCACTGTCCCTGGAACATCCGGGCGTTTCCCCTCTGGATTCTGTTGGCTTTCCTCTTCCATCTTCTCCTCTTTTCCACCTTCGCTCTCGTTGTCACTCTCTTCCCCTAGGATGTCATCCACCTGTGAAAATCGCAGGAGCCATTTAGGGAGCAAGTCATCCCACTACTTCTATTTCTTTTCGGTTAGCCAGTCGAGAGGACACCAGAGTCTGGATTCAATTCTCTCCGCTAAGCTGTGTCTGTTTGAACTCTTTGTAAAATTGAAACGGTGGGGGGGGGGGGAAACAGAGTATTTCAACTAGTAAAGGCTGAACCGTACATCTCAAACACTGCCAGATGGAGGCCGGTTTGACTGATCAGAATTCATCAAGTGACGGCGCTCGGTGGGTGCAGTCCCCAGCGTAGGAGGCACATTGACTCCGTCGTGTGCCAATAGAAACCCCTGTGTCCGTGCCCGTGAGCCTCCAGCATTGTGAGAAAAACTTCAGTCCTCATATCAATGCCTGTGGGCACCGCAGGATTCACTCCTGTGAAAAATGGCAGATCGCTCAAAGGCGCTCTCTCCATGCTAGAAAGATGACTGCAGTTGTAAGCACTTAGAGTGTTGACATTCCCCGAGACCAAATTGGGAGGGCATAATAAAAAAAAAGGGCAGAATTAGAAAAAGGGGCTCCAAAACTCTGGTTGCCCTAATTCAGAAATGCGATTCTACACGCATCAATATAAATACATGCAGTGATTAAAAAGGTCCCATATGAAAGATTTAAAAAAAAGACTCAATGGGAACAAATGAACCATTTCTACTTGCCAACAATATCTGCTCCAAACTGGAGCCACACACTTAAACTTCCTTGAACCTGAGGACAGACAGAGAGATGCCTTGGTATCTGCAGTAACCGCTCTGCCATCTTGAGAGGCTCGTTTCCATATACTCTGCCTTTCAAGCATGTTTAAACCAGGGAAATCTGACTGCAGGGAAAACAGCCGAGAGATGGGAGCTGGCAGAATCGTGCCGTAAAGCCAGAGCTTGCGGATGATTAGGACTGTTTTTATCTGCTTTCATTCCAGCTGTTACGCCCTCCTCAGGCTGCAACCTGTGACACTTTGTTACAATAGCAGTTAATGCGGCATGTAAATAAGTGTAAATTATGCCCATGTAGTTTATTTCACATATAGATTATTCTGTGCTTAAGGAGTAAAGGAGTTTAATTACTTTCCATACCAATGGGGAATATAAATCACGATGCCTTTTTTTCCTGTTACAACACATTTAATCTCAGCATCGCTACTGGGAATTGAAAGAAAATCAAATCCCTACAGAGGGACTCAAAACACTTTTGCTTAAATTTAGACTTCTGAAGAAAATGTAATCATTTGAAGTCAGCACACACACTATTATGTAAGCCCCAGCTTCACACTGCTTGCAAGTACAACCTCAAACTTTTTCATCCATGCTTTTTGTGTACAATTAACAAGTGGAAACAATATTTGAATGATTTTATAATCTGCCTGAAATGTAACTGTGGGCTCCAATGCAAAACGAGAGAAAACGCACTAAGCTACAATATGCACACCTAACCCGTTATCAACTGAAAATCACAACCGTAAAAAACGTTCAAACAGCCAATTGACAAAATTTGGAAAGAGCTTTTTAAAAACGTGGATTGAGTTGTGAAGAATGTTAAGGTTTTAAACTACAAGGTTTGGGGTGTAAACACCAGCATTTTCATTCTAAAAAAAAACTAAGCTCACAGAATTTGAAGGGATTAAGCATACTGAATTTCTATTGGGTAGAACATTTGTGGATTTAGAATTTAAAAAAAAATGTTGTAGCCCTCACAAATATCATGCATGTTGGATTCTGGTTTGTCTTGTGAAAGCTTGCATGGATGCATTGCTCAGTAATCTCATCCTGTGTCACCCATGACCCAACACTTTCACTTTCACCAGACACTTGCCGTCTTTTTGAAATAACTGCAACCAGTCCTGTGAGGACTGGAGTTGGGCCCCCTAACATACTGTACAGGAACAAGGGGAGATTAAAACCTAAACTGAAAATTAGAAAGAAAAGGGGGAAAAAAAACAACCTTTGCTGGTGTAGCTTTCTTCTGGTACGAAGGAAAACCAGGCTGCCACTGTAAGTGGTGTTGGTGGACCAGTAGGTGGCGCTCTTTTCTCTGAATAAGACTTTCCAAACCAATGCTCAAGCATGGTGATGGGGTAGGAGGTGCTTAACTGTCACCAATTTAAGAGTGCATCTCTCTAAGGGTTTCTCAGCTTTCATACTCAATCTTTAATGCTGTGGTCGAGATCCCCACTGCTCTTAAATATGGGTCCGTCTTGTTGCTTTAAAACAACGTCATTTTATGGGAATTAGAAAATTGAAAATATCTTGCTTATCGTGACCAGGAATTCAATGTTATCTTGGTATTTGAGATGATGTTGTGGTAACACAGAGCAAAATTAGCAAGGACTGAAAAAACTGATTCCCTCAGCAGACAAGAGCGCCTGGTGTGCTCCAGTAAAAAGCTTGTGTTTAGTTCTCAGCCAGAATAGGCGGCAGATACTTCAAAGTATGCATTTCTTTTCAGTCAAACCGCGTTGTAGATGATATTCGACAGAAATATTCCCTCTGTGACCTTCAAGAAAGCTCTTTTTGAACTGCTTAATAGGAAGAGACTGAAGAAAGAGAGTCTTGGGAAGGAATTTGCTGATGTACCAGTCAGGGGAGAAAGGTCTACTCCTCATGCTACCACTGGTAGTCAGTGGGAGTCTGTGGGACGAGTGTCAGTCTTACTAATGCTAAATAATGTGACGGAGCACCCAGTCATCATGTTGTGCAAGCGTCCCGTGACCTCATACAGAATTCAGCCCCATCCGCAATGACAGCTGCCCACGGTTGTAAGCAAAGTGATGGGAATGAACAACTGAACTGAACTGCAGGGGGTGGATATTATCGTCACCCAGGAAGGCGTAAACTAGACAAGAGCTAATCCATGACACCAAACGAAAGACCCCAGTGTTTCAATTAACAACAAAAACCAACAAAATAAATAATGCAGTACTTTTTATGCCATGTACTTGCATGTACAAAAATCGAACTGACACTTTGCTTTCTGTATTGCAGTGCATATACAGTGCAGGGCTAATCTCCAAAAATGTTTTCCAGTGACCTTGGGCGGAGTGGTGGCTCTGTGGCTAAGGATCTGTGTCTGTGGCTGGAAGGTTGCCCGTTCAAATCTGGCGGGCGGCAGAGGAATCCTACTCCATTGGGCCCCTGGGCAAGGCCCTTAACCCCAGCTGCTCCAGGGGTGCTTTATAAATGGCTGACCCTGCGCTCTGACCCCAAACTTCTCTCTCCCTGTCTGCATGTCTCATGGAGAGCAAGCTGGGGTATGTGAAAAGACAAATTCCTAATGCAAGAAATTGTATATGGCCAATAAAGTGATCTCTCTTATCACTGGACTACTTTCACACTGTACCGGCACTATGATTAAAAACTATAGAAACACTGCAATGTTTTTCAGCTTGCTTTCTTTTTAATTGTTACTTTTACACAATATATTGTATGACTGCTACAAGCCATATGGAACAGAAAAGGCTAAACTTTTTAAAGCAGCTAAAACATATACGGTACGTCAGTATTATTTCAAATTGAGACACACAAGGCTTTATAAGATGGTGACTGTAATTTTGTTAACTAAAAAGGAGAACATGTTAAATGAATGGCTTCTCAAACAGTTATATACTGCCTGTAATGAAAACAAGGATGAGATGTTGGCACACTGGTTAGCATTGCTGCCTCCCAACCCTGGGGTCTGTGGCTCAATTCCTGTAGTGTTATCTGCATGACGTTTGTATAGTCTCTCAGTTTTTGTGGGTTTCTTCTGGATGCTCCAGTTTCCTCCCACAGTCCAAAGACATACTGGTAGGTGAATTATCTTCTGGGAAAACTGGCCCTGGAGTGAGTGTGGGCACGTCTGTGCTTGTCTGTGCCCCTGAAAGGGACTGGCATCCCATCCAAGGTGTCACCACCTTGCGCCTGTTGCTTGCTGGGATAGGCTCTGCCTCCCCAGCAACCGTGGATAAAGTGGTAAGAAAATAGATGAATGGAACAAAAAAGCTTGTGTGGTCTAAAAGTGAGGACAAACCAATCCTGGAACTGTATAACTGTAAAACTGTAATACTACCATGCTCAGTCAATATTTACTGCAGCTTGCAACCTGAGCTGACACAGCTCTGCCTTACAGATGTCTCTTATGCACAAACTGGCGCTCAAAGCCAGTGGCTCTGCACCCTGAACTGGATCGACACTTCGTCTCCCAGTGTACAGGCTGCTGCGCCAGCAGGATTTCCCAGGCTCAGTCCAGGACAGCTCAACAGGCTCTACACGCTGAATCTCTGCCCAGAGGCAACACTTAGTGCTGGATCCGACAAACAGTCCTTGAACAGGATTCCCGAAGCCCCCTGGGACAATGCTGCATCCCATACAGAGGAGTCTTACTCTGCCTGGCAGCTCTCTAAACCTAATTAGTACTCAAATGCTCCACATAATGAGGCTTTCTTGCCAATAAACATGCCATCGTTCCTCACTAAAGAGCTCTGTGAGCACGTTCATTCTGCTGCAATTATGTAAACAGAAGGAAAAACAAATGCAATTGCAAACCTCAAAGTACAAAAGGACAGCAAATATGCAGCGTAATTTTAATGCTGTTTATATAACACCATTACGCCAAAGGTATCAGGCACTTGAGGGACCTTTTTTGAATTTTTTCCCCATTTGTTTTTAAGAAAAGGCAGGCCTTGTCATTTTCTAAAACAGCTTCTGTTTCCTGCTTACATTTCGCATTGAAAGAATACAGACAACGCCATGACTTAATTACCCAATTATCACTGCAACACAAACGCAGATGAAATAAATGTCATGCCAGCAGTTCTATGAATTTCTATCAAAAGCGATTACACTTGCGACCTACTGCAAGAAATGTATGCACTTAGAATAATACAGAATAAAATATGGCAGTGTTTGTTATCTGTGCAATTACACAGTGCACTGCTTATAAACAATCAATAAGCAAATATGTTATATTCCTGAAACATAAAAATTCTCATAATGCTCAA